GACTTTTTATCTCTTACTATTAAGACGATTAGTCGGAATTCTTACCTATTATAGACTACGCCTAGATAACCCTCCCTTATGACTCCCTTAGAGGTCTCTTACCCTTTAAAGTCGTTTATAAATATATATCCCGTATTAATTAGAATTAGAAAGACTTACCTAACTCTACTATACCTACTAATAAATTAAATACTTAGTAAGCTCTAGATTACGCTAATCGTCTGCGTAACGTATAGACTACTACCTAATTAAGCCTCTTACGCGTATAAGCTAAGATGTCCTGATCTTATAATCGCTTACGCTATGAAGTCGACTTTACTATAAACGACCTTATTTAGCTAGATATACGCTACTTTACAAGCACTTAACCTAGTAAAAAGCTCGACTTCCCGACTAATAGATCTTTCTGTATAGTTAAAAAAGTTAGAAGCTCTTACTATTTAGAGCTCCTTATAAGTATAAAAGTATATAACGTCTTCCCTGCGTCGAAGTTACATAGGGATACTAATAACCTATTACCTAGATAAACCTCACCGCTACTACTACCTATTAATATTACTAGTGATAACGAATAGGAAATCGAAGATATACTTACCTACTATAAGCAGCGTAATAACCTCTTATACCGCGTCTTCTAGTTGAATTAAGATGTCGATCTCATGTAGTATAATACTTCAGATATTAAGTACGCTCCCGCAAAGATTTAATAGTTCTACCTTAATAACTTAACGTAAGCAGGTCCCCCTACTAAGCTCCTTAATTAGCTAAAAGCTTTCCACGATAGAATAGACGATTACGACTACCTTAATAGTAATAAGGAAATAGACTAACGCTCGAGGGCGAGCTTTTTTCGGAGGGGGAGGTAATATAATAACTAGTCAGGTTTAGAGGTCTCTCCCTATTAGTAGAAACACTTACTACTAAGCGAGATTATACGAGTAGAGTTTAGGGGCCCCTTTTTATATATATATTTCCCTTCTCTCTCTACTTCTTCACTCTTTAGTTATAGATTCTAAGTTAATTCTTACTACTTTATATTCATAGCAATATGAGGTCTTATTACTAAGGTAGTTTTGAGACCTTTCTAGAGCAAGCGTCATAATAATTAAGGCTAAACTACTTATATGAATTCACTTAGTAAAAGAGACTATAACTCTTTAGAGATTCTTTAAGGATCTTACCTTCGATATTAGAGAGACTTAGAAGATCTTTTATAATAATTAATAAACGATTAGGCTAGTTATAAATAAAAGCGAGAGAATTATTACTAAACTATAATATATTAATATTCAGAATATATAACTTAAGTAAGAGTATACTAAGGGATTATTTATAATAACTTATCTACTAACTAATAATATACTAGCAGATAGTCTTATACAGAATCTCACTCGATAGAAATTTAAAGCTTTTAGATCTCTCTTAAACTTTAGAAATTATAGATCATAGATAGAGAAGCTTTAAGTATAATATTAAGTTGCCTACTTAGCGTATTTTTATTTACATAAAATTTAGACTAAAAAACTAGGCTTTTAAGGATCTACGAATACTTATATAAGAAGATTAAGATCAAATCTAAAACCGCTTAATCTAGACTATTCTTCTAGCGCTTAATCTGATACTTAGTATAATACTTTCGGTCCTCAGAGAGAGTTCTACTACTATATAATCCTATAAACTTACTAGCAGAAGCTCTACTTATACTACTACTATAATCTCTCTTCTTTAGAGAAAGTCCAAGTCTAATAGACTTTATATTAATAACCTCTACCTTAGAATCTGAATTACCGCTTTTCTTTAAAGCTCTCTTAGCCTTAGTATCTTTAAACACTTATTAAAGGTTCGTATAATAGTTCTTAAGATACTAAGTAATAAGTTAAAGTATTAAAGGATTAGAATTAAAGAACTTACAGATTACTTAGTACTATTTCTCTTTCTATCTATAAACTCCTTAGCTTAGGTAATTATCTAGGATAGCAGGAATATAGCTATAGAAGGCATAAGAGTAATATCTCTTTAACTTTATAGCTATATTTATATAGTAGCGACCTTTTAGTCTAGTTCCCTCGATACTTATACTAATATATCTTTAGTAAGGATTATTATTGTCTTTACTTAGTAGATATTAGAGTATTCATATAGTATTAGTATTAGGAAATCACTTAATTATCTTACGCTTTACTCTAGCGAATTTAGGAGTAGTAATAGCAGATCTATAGCTATAGGAAGGTATATTTTTTATTAAAGAAGCTTTTAGTATACGAGGAGATAGTAAAAGAGTAGTATTTAATTCAGTTCTTTAAAAGATTAGAGAAAGTTCGTAAGTAGAGTAATTAGATAGATTATCTAAGGGATTATACTACTTAGGCTTAGGCTTAGAATTATTATTATTATCTCTATTAGTATGATTAATAGATTAGAAAGAACAGATTTCAAGATTATTTCTGAATACTAAGCGATAAGAAGTAGAAAGGATCTCTTCCTTAGAGTAAGGGCTATCGAACTATATTATACATATATTAGTTAAAGGGTTAAAGTAAAGGAGTAGAAAATAATCTTATAATATCGCGATAAGCAGATTTAGTTATAAATCTTCTAGTATTAGTAGAGGATCTTCTAGTATTTATAGAGAATCTTCTAGAAGTAGCAGAAGATCTTTCAGGATTAGTAGGGGATTAATCTACGACGCGATAATAAGATATAGGATACGTATCAGACTATTTAGAGTTCTTCTTTCGCGATCTCTTATTAGAAGACTTAGAAGATATAATAATAATAATAGAAGCTTTAGAATAATAGAAGTCATTAATAGAAGAAGAGAAATAGGCGCAAGTAATCTTAGTATATTATATTTAAAGGAAGAAGAACTTCTCTATATACGAGATAAGGAGTTCATATACCTATAAGGCTTCGGTTACCTACCCTTGTAAGTGAATAAGACTACCTAGAGCGCTTCTTTTACTTATAAGTAAATAAGGCTATGTTAAGTGCTTCTTCTGCTTAGGGTACTTCTTTTACTCTTTTAAAATTAATAAATAATAATAAGACAAGATTATCTAATTAATTATAACTACTATCTATAACTCTCTAAGATCATATAACGTAGACTTCTATTTGCAATTCATTTAATTGAATTACTTCTATATAATATTTAACCTTCACTCAGCGATTACTTAAAGCTTAGAATAGCTGGTTTTATACTATAAATAAAGCTATAGCCTTATAATTTCCTTTATTTACTTAACTTCACTCTTTAATAGTCACTTCGACTTTAATCAGTTCATGCACTTATCTATAATTTCTTTTATTAATTATATAAATAATGAAATTCATCTTCTGTCACGGGTGAATAATGTATACACGAGGGTTCATGGTGGTATTCAACAAGTTCGATAAGGAGAGAGTAAGAATCTAACCGGAAGCCGCAAGAAAAGGTGCGCAGTGCCAAGGCTTAACCGAGCCTTAGTCAGCGAGTCGTGCTGGTAATACCAGCACCATAACCCAAGGGCTTGACCCTTACATCTTCTCTATTTAGAAGCTTCTTTACTCACTTAGGGTAGTTTATATTCACTAACTAAATAAAGGTATATATATAATTAATAGTAATCTCTAGTCTTATACTAAAAGATAGCTATAGAGGTTATATCGTATACTTTCACTTACTATCTATAGTCACGTTATATCTGATCACCTATATAGCTTAGTATATACTTATATAATCTCCTTATATATTTAAAGTAAGCTTTCTCTCTTTCTTCTGAAGAGTTAACGCTCTTTATAATTAATATTCAAAGACTACTTTAATTCTCTATCTCTTGATGCTTTAAAGTGATCTTTCACTACTAATAAAGCCTGCCTTACTTTAATACTATATATTCTTTATATAGCTATCGACTGAATACGCTATATACTTCTGAGTATATATTAAATTTAATTAAAAAGTGTTATTATCTAATTAGTAATAGTTAGCTTGAATATATATACTCATATCTTTATTATCCTTAGTTATTTATGAGATTTAAGATACTCAAGTCTAGATATCGACATAAGATCTCATGAATAAAGAATATCCTGAGAAAAGTAATACTGACGATTCTTAGGTTTAAAAATAGTCTTATAATACTTAATAAAAAGATCCCTTATATATTAAGCTTTCTTTTATATTTCTCGACGTACTTAAATAAGAACAAATCATTTATAAAGATCTTAACGTACTTATTAGCTTACTTATAGAGATATTATATAGAAATTATTCCTTTATTAGAATGCTCTAATATTATTATTTATATTTATTTATATTAAAAGTAATCTCATTAATCTCACGTATACTTATAGAGATAATGTAATTATTTACTTAAAGAGGAATTAGATACTAATAGATTAGGTTATCTAACTTTATTAATTATAACTTAACTTATATATTATATTTTATAATATATCTATAGCAGGAGCTATAGAGATAGAGATAAGTATAATGGTGTTGAGGTTAGGCTCATATCAACTACGCTATCTGAACTAAAAGATCATAATATTCAGCGCACGCTGAACACGCCTAACATCGTACATATACAACCGACTATCACGTGCCCATTACAATAAGAGTATCCTTATAGCGTTTACTCTTATTAGGACGCCACGTGATACTGCACTGAACCTATCATATTCTAATAATTCATGATAATTGCTATTATCACGGCTTCAAAATCTTAACAGAGTAATATAATAGCTTAGCTGCTATTAGTTAGCTACTAAATGCTATTATATCTAGCAAGTGATTCAGCTCGGCTGTTTTCTGATACTGAGAGTTGCCTCGATACGATTAAGCATATAACTCAGGCTGAAAGAGATCGAGATCCATTACTCGCATTCGGGTTCATAGCCCTGGAATGAAGAATATCATATATCCCTTGAAATATTTGAAAGAATGATCATACAAAATATGCCAAATAGAGCATTCAATATGACATCCCCCAGCATCTGCAGATGATAAAGCGGATGATGCTCCCTTAGCTCAGTGGTAGAGCGCGTCACTTGTACGACCATGTATATGACGAGGTCGTTCGTTCGATCCGGGCAGGGAGCTTAACGGCAAAAGTGTTAAGACAATCATTTTTGCTCTCTTTGTTGATAAATTTTAGTTTTGAAGCTTCTTCTTCAAAGCAAGATAAGTCATCTTCTCTCGTTCATCACAGGATCTCGGAGGGCCCAAGAAGGCTGACACCTCACATTAATACCCAAAGGTTGCTTACTATGTAGCTATATTTGTAATCAAAAGTTTATAGCGTCTTACCGGGTAGATTTATCATAATTGTCTTCCAGCTGACGGATCAGAAGGAAGATGAACTTCTTCTTAGTTCGCCCTTACAACAGCGAGACTTTTAAATCGTCGCGGGGAATTTGAAATTTATCTTTAAGATAGAGTCTTTTATGATTTCCTTGGTCTGGCTTCGCTTTGCACCTCGCTAAGAATTAGGCACGTCTCGCCCCGCCTTGGTGCGGCTGTGTGCCTTCTTAATTCATCGATTGGCTGAGCCTGAATTCCCCTGAATTTGTGGCTCTTTATAGTCAGGGAAAGCAAGTATCCCGCGAAAGCAAGTGTAAGAGTTGACGGCTCTGACGCGAGCGAGGCTTCAGACGGGGAGGTTGGAGAGGAAGATCAGGAACTTGAGTAGAGCGAGGAAGAAATCATCAAACACCGCCAGAAACGTCCGAGAAACGCCTAGAAATATTCACATTACACGCCCACGGATTCCAGAAAGAACCTCTGAAAGCAAGTAAGAGGTATAACAAGACATATATGAATATGAAAGTAAGGCAATAAGAAAAGCTATAGCCATGGACTAAGCTAAACCCGAATTACAGGTTCTCCGCAGCAAGAAGATTGCAGAAAATATCTCTATACATATAATGGGCGAAAGTGATCCAAGGTAGAACGGCATGTATTTTTAATTCTGATTGTTAGTTTATCGCGATGAGTGGAATGTAGCTAATCTGGATAGTAATTATCTGCTCCCCGAGGTCTTCTAGGCATCCTCATGCAAATGTATAGATCGACCGTAGCTCCATAAAACCGCTCTCAAAAATCGGCTGGTGGATCCCAAGTCTCCAGATTAACCATGGAACTGATGTGGTTCTAAAAAAAACGCTGATGAATCGAAGCCAGACATATCGAAAGACTCTAAAAAGATTCGACTTGTGAAATCGGAGCTCCGATATACATTCGTGTTAGAGCTATGTCTTCGGTAGCTTTGGATAGTGGAGGATATGGTCGTGCTCTGCTCTAGCAATGCCGTTTAGTTACCCTGCCTCAAAAGGCAACGATAGCTAGAGCTCCGTCGTCAAAACAGATCTTGACAGACAGCACGCCAGCATAACCTTCAATGCCTCGAGATTCGGCAGCGGCTAGTGTTAAATCCTCTCCTGATCTATGAAATGGTTCTTTGCGTCGCGGAATATTTTTGACGATGGGAGCTGGAGGAACAGAGAGCATCAACTTGGAGTAACTTCAGTACGGGACACGCCCTGAAGTCTATCTTTTTGGAGTCGGGCACGACCCGTGGGTAAGCAGGTGGATGACTGACATTCCTAAACATCCACATGCTGCGATTTCATCTGTGTGATTGGGCGAAAGATTGGAAAAATGGATGTACCTCTTGCAATCATGTAAAATGAAGTGCTAGTAATATGGTAAATGAAGTGTAAAGTCTTTAGATAGCGAACGAAGAAGGAAAGCACTAGTGTATGCACATTCAACCATGCGACGTAACAAATGGTATGAAACTTCAACGCTGGTCTATGATTTGTTGTTAAATAAAGAAGATGATTTTCCAAACATGCTCATGGGATAGGCATAACCTTTGGCACAACCCACCAATCATGATACCCCTTCCCAGCCAACGGTATCTCAACCTTCAGCTTAACTCGTGGCCCTTCTCCCACTTTTCCCACAGCCTTCTTCACCGTTGCAATAGTAATACTAGTAAATATCGCCGCTTTCAAACAAGCTTTAACATTACTCACCCAAGCCTCATGAGATCCCTGGCAAAAAGCCTCCTTAGCAGTCAATTTACTCAGAGCTTCAAACCCCTTCTTCGCTCCCAGCGCAGATTCTGTAGCAAAATCAAGGAGTTCGAGATTCGATGCTTCGGGCTGAGTGACGAGGCGGGTATATTCTTCAAAGGGGATCAGTTCTGGCAGACCGATGCTGTGAAAGGGCTTCATACGAACTTCGTATCGCATGGTGTCGTCGCTATACGGTCTTGCCGGTGATGGAATCAAAGAGAGGCGGCTGAGGACGGTGAATAGGCAAGATAAAGCGTCAGAGAACCCACATGTCGCGGTAGCTTCTAAGGAAGAGAGATTCAGGAAACTGAGAGCGTTCATGAATTCTGGATGCTTGGCTGCTGCAGTCTGTGGATTCTGCAGAGAGGCTCGTAGCTCTCGGACAACGAAGCCGCGGATGCGGTCAAGATGGTTACTTCTTGTTTTCGCTAAGTATTGTAAGTACCAATACATCCCTGCCACTTCGTCCGGTTGGTAGGTCTCAAGCTCGAAGCCCATCTGAACCAGCCACTCCATGATTCGTAGCTTGTAGAGGTAAGACCAGGATGATAATGGGAAGGAGTAGATGGATTCGCTCGAGATTTCGGAATCAACAATCGGCTCCTCATTGGTGAATTCTCGAAGCTCAACATCCAATTCCTCGGCGTCCATTTGAAGATTGTCCCAGTCAATAATCGCATGGCGGAAGCTTCGTCGTATCCTGCATCGATTCTGGCAGAGCGTTCTTATCACATCTAAATATGAACCAGCTGCTCGGGATCGGAAGATTTCCATACGAGCGGCCATGTTGTGTCGAGGATCGTGCGGTAGCTCGATTTCGTCGTTGAAACGGTCTAGTAGTTTATGGGAAGGCAGTACAACAGTAGCCAAATCGTCATCGAGGACCTGCCGAATGGACATGGTTCCCAGAATGATCATGTCGGCAAAGATGTAGTGCTGTAATAAAGTACGAACGTAAACCGAAGGCTGTGGCTTCCGAGATTGAAAAAGGGAAACGAAAGTCTGTCAACTGATTAGCGACAATAACATATATCACAACACATCTTACCAGCAGGCTATGGCTATCATAATACGTAAGTACTTCTATCGCAACTGAAGCATCTAGACAAAGTTTCTCCAGATGTTGAAAGGCATCTTCTTGGCTGACTTGTATAATCGGGCGTGGTGGAACAGTACTAGCTAGCTTTCGCTGTAACTTGGCACTGAAAGATGATGGGAACGGTTTCCCAGCAGAGAGACTTGATTTTAAATCAGGTACGTAAGCCAGTAGATCTAACCAATTCTTCTTGGTATCGTCAGAAGTTCTGCTATCTGCGCATTCTACCGCTCGGAGGAATTGTAGCCGAAACTTTAGTCGATATTCTAGCGCTTTCTTGATCTTTGGATCGATGTACTGGATTTCTCCTAGCATAATAATGGTTTCGTTGAGAAACGCAACGATGATTTCATAATCGATGCCCTCTAGTAGGCTTCGATTGAAGGTATGAGTGACAAAGTCTTCCTCCTGCACACGATATTAGTAGGCATTCATTTCGCTGGTTGGCGTCCACACCTCATATGTGTGCTCCGACTTGACACGGTTATTGACGAAAAGGCATGTTTTGATCAGACCAAGACAATAAGCCCGCAAAACTTGCATAGAATAGGTTTCTTCTGTGTAACTCTCACCGCAGTCAAAGAAGGTGTGATCGATATCAAGCGGGCACGACGACAGGATTTTGTCGATGTACAAGCTAGTGAAAATCGTTTGGGCAAGAGGATGGCCCATGTGCCATGCCATCTGTAACATTAGCATCTATATCCATTATTGCGAGGTATTAGATTACCTCATGGCATAGCAACTGATCGATAATCCCTATGATTTCTTCTGGCAGAAGGTCTTGGGAGAAATCGAAATCATCCTCCATAGTTTCTCCAGGCTCAAGATATCCACTGTCCATCTTACGATCCATGATCTGCCAGCCTCAGCCTCAAGTTGCAGATAAAATTCTGCTTTCTGACATACCTCCAAAGCTCCAACTGACTCAAAGAGCGTGAAAAACGGATCTTTAACGAGCTGGCCAATGCCGAGCTCTGCGATGTGTCAGCACGTGATGAAAAATGCAAGGGTTTGCACCAACTCACGTTGCGCAGCATGCGTGAACTGTTTGGTAATGTCTGTGGCTACCACTCCTTTGCTCCTCAACTTGGGCGCTGGAGGTGGCTCCTCATCGTAAGCCGCAAATGGGTTAACAGGCCTGGCCGCAAGGTCGTCAAGGGAGAGATTTGCCGCCGCTGTAATATGGTCAATTTGGAGCCAAATTCATGTCTGGGAAGGGGGCTTTACCTTGCGATAGCTCGGACATATTGATTTCCATTTTTGTGGTGCACGAATTTCATCACAATTATTCATGACCTCAATAGAGGGTTGTTGTTTGTTGCAAGCCTGGTCTGCAGAGGAGGGATGTGAAGTCGGAAGATCTCGCTTGCAGGTTGTTGGTTGATGCAAGTGTTGGTGCTAGAAAGGCTCATGGGCAAGGCATGGAATTATAGATCGGAATCCGAAATGTTACATACAGGATCATCATAGGGCATTGATATTCCTAATTCCACAGAGTAGCAAACAAAAGTCGAAGACATTCCAACAAATCCCCAGATCTATCAGGAACTCAACGTTTCCGCATATGAACGCGCCTCGTCAGCTTGAACCTTGATGTCTTTGGCAGATACAAGGGCAAAGCCCATATTGTGAATTGTGAATCAGCATACCAAAATTGTATTCCAAGGTTCATGCTATTTGTATGAATTCGTAGTCAATAATCTCTATAAGGTATCGGCAAGCTGGTCCAAAGTTTCGTACCTACTGGCACAAATGTCAAGGGCTTCGATAGTGCTCAAGGCTACGTTCTGCTTATTCGTATCTTTCACTGAACCTCTGAATTGCTGATCCTCTTATCGTCAAGTAATTGTACAATCCACCATCAACATTCCCTCTCCAAGCTCATCCACAACCCAGCCATCGCTCCAAAGGTATTCCACTAA